GTTTAATCAAAAAAACAAATTTCAAAATAGAAAAAACAGTAAAATATTTGGCTGTCACTTTTTCAAATAAGAATTCAGAGTTATTCAGAAACAATTATGAGTCAACATGGGAAAAAATCGGCAAAAATTAAAAATCTGGAATAAATTACATATTTCCTTAATGAGTAGAATATTTATAATCAAAATATATGTATTGCCTAAGCTGTTATTTCTATTTCAAGCAATACCGATAATTACAAACTCCTTACTGTTTAAACAGTGGCAGAAGGACCTGACCAATTTTATATGGTCAGAAAGAAAAGCAAGAATTAAGGTAAAAATATTACAAGATGTGCTGAAAAGGGGGGGGGATTAGGACTCCCAAATTTGCAATTATATTACCATGCTTGTGTTTTGGATTGGCTAAAAGAGTGGTTAAGGCTCTCTGACAGACAACTACTTTATTTGGAAGGTTTCAACAACTTCTATGGTTTCCATGCTTACATGTATTATGACAAAATAAAAAGTGAACAAGGAATTTAGCAATCACTATGTGAGAAACTCTTTAAATAAAATCTGGGAAAAATATAAAGTGAGAATTAACAAGGGAATTCCACTTTACATCTCACCTAATGAAGCATTTCATAGGTATGACAAGATAATAGAGAATATTTGGGCTACCTATGAAGATCTATTAATTAAGGAAAACAATATCTGGAGATTGAAATCCAGAGAACTCAGAGAGGACGGGATAAAAGAAAATTGGTTTCTATATCTCCAGTTGAAACAAAGATCCTTAGTCGACAGAATAAATCAAGAAATAACATCAATGGATAATCCAATTGAAAAAATATTGCTAAAGGAAAATGAAAAAGTCATAGTGAAATTATACAAGATACTACAGAAATTATACAAGATACTACAGATTATATGGGATACAGAGAAAGAGCAAATAAAAGAATGCATGGTTCTCTGGGCCCAGGACTTAGGAAGAACGATTTACTTAGAAGAATGGGAAAAGGTCTGGGAAAACAAATTAAAACATACGTTGAGCTATACACTCAGAGAAAATTATTACAAGCTCTTCTATAGATGGTATATTACACCAGCTAAATATCGAAAATGAAAAAAGAATTTAACAATAAATGCTGGAAATGTCAGAAACATAGAGGTACTCTTTTCCATATGTGGTGGCTGTGCCCTTTTGCTAAAAAGTTTTGGGGGAAAATATATGAAAACATACAAGATATCTTACAAACTCAAATAGAAAATGATCCCAAACTATTTTTGTTGGGCCTCACAGATGCAGACCTTGAAAAAAAAATGGGAAAAAATTATTCCACCTTATAATGTAGAATATCATATGCTACATATTGGAAACAGAAGCAAATACCTGAGATCAGAGAATGGTATTTGAAAGCATTAGACTTTATAGAAATGGACAAACTTACAAGTAGGCTAAGGAACCTTCCAAAAAAAGAAACACAAAAATGAGTGGGAAGACGTAATTAACTGGATTCAATATAAATTACAGACACAATCAGATTTCTTCTTCTCCGTAGTTATAATATCTTGGATAGTACACAAATAAAATATATATAAGATAACAAAGAAGCAAATGAGGCAAATTCACCTATTGTCTTAAAATTTAATAAATAGAGACAAAGGAAAATAATGTATACATTCACGATGCAGAGTAAACAGCACAAATATGGCGGTATAAATAAAAAGGGGAACAAAGGGTTACATAGGGTAATTATTGAATGAAAAAATGTTTATTGGAAATAACCATACAATTAAGAAATCAAGATTTATCAACAGAGACAAAGATTTATTACTAGAAACAAAGATAGGTAAATAGGGTTAAGTTGTAGACTTGAGGAAGTACTGTTTTTTAGAGTGTTGTTTTGATTCTATATGTGAGCTTGATAGAAAGTATGTTGTATTGTATGTATGTGTAATGTCATGTTTTAAAATGGAAAACTCAATAAAATTCTAGGGGAAAAAAAGAAAATGAACATAGTACTTTGGGTCATTGGTTGTTTTTAAATCAGTCACAAGTTAATAGCCACTGGCTTATAGTACAAAACACATTTAGGAAATGTGGTGGCACTTTCTAACTATAAAAATAGCTAAAAATCATTTGAGATCACATTGCAAAGGAAGTTGTTATCCCTCATTAAGCTACAATTGTGAATTAACTCAGTTATGCCTTTATTATTGCAAAAACAAATTAAGTACTAATGACACGTTACTAGTAATGTGTCATTTGTCACATCCACACTCTAATTATATCCACACTAGTTACACCCACACTCTGATCCTCTTGATGATTTAGGCTAAATCCAAGGCATCTTTTGAACACAGCACTACTGAATGCAGGAGGACTAACTTTGACAATATACCTTCCACTTTCAGAGAGACATTGTCTAAAAATCAGGACTCCAGAAAGACATCGCATTCTGCCTTGTTGCATTAGGGGGTGGGAATTTGGCCTTGATCTCTACAGAGTGGAGCTCCTCAGTATAATCAGTGTTACTGAACAGAAAAAGTCTAAGGAGGTTTGTACTCCACTGTAAGTGTACCTGCCCTCTAGATAGAGGTTGACTTTGAAGTGTACAGAGCTGCTTGTGATACTCATCTAAAATGCTGCTTTGGGACTTGGCCTACTACTTGTTTAAAACAAAGGAAATGGAGTCGTAGGCTGTCATGGCCAGCATCCATAGTTTTTTTTTTTGTGGGTTTTTTTCTTTCTGAACTCTTTCAGAACATGGCCACACAGCCCGAAAAAACCCACAAAAAAACAAAGGAAATGGAGTCAGGTTTTTCTTCACAAGTTGCTTTTACTTGTTTCTGATTATCACACACATTCTGTAATTGTATGTTACTACTAGGGTTACAAAATCAGTTTTTATTTATTGAATGTATATCCTGCCTTTCTCCTCCAAATGGGACCATGTTAAATGATGTGATTTAAAAAAACCAACCCTTTATGCAATTAAAAACATGCCACTGTTTAAATTATTTTAGCAGAAGTGTTTTTAAAAAAAACACACACAGATGAGGAGCCCCATCTTAAAAGAGCACCTCCCACCTCTTGCAATACAGGAGGAATGTCTCTGTTATTTACTTTCACAATCGGGGTGTAGCTATGGGAGGGGGAATAGGGAATTGTCCCCTTAAATAAGAATTCTACCATCAGTTATTTTTTCCAGGTTTTTAGCATTGTAGGAACTTGAAACTTCAGCTGAACATTTAGAAATACAATTTAGGCATGCAGAGAAAAGAGGCAAGTATACTTACCAAGAAAATGAGAATACACTTCTCATTTTTCAGTTCTAGAGTCTAGAGTCTATTCTAGATTTCAAAATTCAATTCTAGATTTTCAGAAATTAGAATATGACAAACAAGAGTTCTAGATTTTTGTCATCTTACTCTTTGCAGTCCTCAAAATTTGGGAATAGAAGCAAAATTGAGCAGAATTCTTATTGAGAGGACAATGTCCTTATTTTGCTCCTTCCCCAGGGCTACACTCCTGCAGAACATGTATACATTATCTAATAACAAAGGAAGTATTCTTCTCAAATATAATCAATAGATACAACCAAAATTAACAGATGGAAATAACTTTAATTGAGATGCAGTCCTAATTTTTACAAAAATGAACATCTTTCCACCACCAATGTGCTTGTCCACTTAGAGCAGGGGTAGGCAACCTTTCCCCTTTAAGGGCCGAGGGACTTCAGCTCCCAGAAGCCTCAGCCATGTTGGCCAATAGTCCCATGTTGGCCAATAGCTCATGGGATTCTGGGAGCTGAAGTCCCTCAGCCCTTAAAGGGGAAAGGTTGCCTACCCTTGACTTAGAGGGACTGCCATTGCTCCTCAACAATCATAAAGTTCTTATGTGAACAGATAAGAGTCATCACATTGCTGGCAGGTTCTAAGGTTTTCACTGAAGTCATTGCAAATACTCCTAAATCAGAGTGGGAATATTCTATTTTAGTTTCAATATATCCTGCATTAGAATATCTGAATGTTCATATCTGATTCTTGTAAATAGAATCACAGCATCATAATGTTGAAGAGACCACAAGGGCCAATCTCCAAAACACAATCAAAGCACTCCTGACAGATTGCCGTCCAGCATCTATTTAAAAACCTCTGAAGAAGGAGACCCCATCACTCTCCAAGGCAGTGTGTTTTACTATTGAACAGTTTTTACCATCAGGACATTCTTCTTAAGGTGGAATCTCTTTTCCTATAGTTTGAATCCATTGCTCTGTGTCCTAGTCACTGTAGCAGCAGAAAACAAACTGGCTCCGTCCTCAGTATGTCATCCCTTCAAATACTTAAACATGGCTGAGAGCCAGTATAGCACACTGGTTTGAGCACTGGACTATGACTCTGGAGACCAGGGTTTGATTCCCAGCTTGGCCATGAAACCCACTGGGTGATAGGTTTGTCTTAGAGTTGCCACAAGTTGGAAATGACTTGAAGATACATAGCAACAACAATAGCATGTCACCCCTTAACCTTCTCTTCTCCAGACTAAACATACCCAACTCCCTAAGTCATTCCTTATAGGGCATGCTTTTCAGAGCTTTCACCATTTTGGTCACTGTCTTCTGGACATGCTCCAGTTTGTCCACATCCTTCTTGAATTGTGCTGACCTGGAACTAGACACAATATTCCAGGTGAAGTCTGAGCAAAGCAAAATAAGTACAAACTGTGCTCAGTATGGAGAAGCCTAAGTTGTTCCTACTGGCCATAAATGTGCCATAAAACTGTCTGACAAAAAGAGGTGGCAATCCCAGTTCAGAGCCACAAATATAGTTAAATGCACAGTGATTTAAAGCAAAACTTTAAAGAGTTAAGCACATCAGACTCTTGGACCTCAATGGATAGATCTGCCAATTTGATTTCTTCTACATCTGATTTTTTTAGAAATCAAGCTCTTTCCATCCTAAATATCAATACATTTTGGAAATTTTGTAACATCATGTCAAAATTTTATTGTATTATTAATTTATTTATAGGACTGATATCCTGCCTTTCTCCCAAAATGGGATTCAAGATGAATCCCATGATCCATAACAAAATCTTTACCCACCCCTATTTCTAAGTAGAGAATAAGATACACTATAAAACTTTCAAGTCTGTGACTTTGAATGTAGAAATGTCTTCTACATTTGCATTGAACATTGCAAGATTACATTCTGAGCCAAAAATTGCATTAGAGTAGGTAATTTATGGTTATGTAGCTCTTTTATTTAAAGATAGAAAGAAGGGTCATATTCCACAGAGAAGAGTAGTATGATGACTGGATTGCCCTTAGTTTTACCTTGCAAACAAAAGCTGGTGGATACAAGGTAAGACACAGTGTGGGGCTATCTTTCCATGTTCATGAGAAGGTTGCTTCTATAAAGCAACAGGCTATGCTGCTGGTAGGGTCATACAAGCTTTTGCTTAGGAGCCATGCTAAGTGTGACAAGCAATTACTGGGCAACATCAGTATGGATGTGTCTGTGTGAAGTCAAGACTGTCCATAACATAGTATTTCCAATTTCTATATATGGTTGTGAAAGTTGGACAATGAGGAAAGTTGATAGGAAGAGAATCAACTCACTTGAAATGTGGTGCTGGAGGAGAGTTCTAGGGATACCATGGACTTCTAAAATAAATACTAATAAATGAGTCATAGAGAAAATCAAGTGTCACCACAGAAGCCAAAAATAACTAATCTAAAGCTGTCTTACTTTGGACATATCATGAGAAGAAAAGACTTACTAGAAAAAGAGAACAATGCTTGGTAAGGTGGCAGTAGGAAAAGAGGAAGATCAGAATAGAAGTGAACTGACTCACTAAGGAAGCCATGGCCCTGAGTTTGCAAGACCTGAGCAGGGTTGTTGATGACAGGGTGACTTAGAGGTCTCTTGTTCATAGGTTCATTAGAAGCTGAAGTCTGTTTGACAGAAATTAACAACAATAACAGGGTGAGATACTAGTTATCCGGGGGGGGGGGGAAGAGTTCATAACCATGGATACCTGCCATAAAAGTCCTGCAAAATCCACAGTAGCTCCAGTGAAAGTTAGAATGCATTCATCACTCCAGCACAATAAAGCCACCAGTTTAATTGGGGCAGAATAGGGAGGAAAGGCATTTGACATCCTAGTTATACTCAAAAAAAAAACCAGGCCTGAGGTGGTTGGAGAGCTAGAATTTAACTCTTTGCCTTGTTCCCACTCACATACCCCTGACAGGTAACGCCACCAGAGATTCCAAGAGTTGTAGTTCCCCCTCCCCAAAAAAGTTTCCAACCTCTGCTCATTCCTCCTCCTCCACTAGGAAGCAACTATAGAGTATACTTATGACAATGCAGAATCTGGACCCCTTGCATATTGTTGCTAATCAGATATTCTTGAAACAAGGTTACATCCTGTCTTTTAATTGAACCTAACTGCCCAAACTTCCTTTTACCATAAGCACTTCTTCATACCCGACACACTTCCTGGATCTATAAAAGATCGTGGAATGGGTGAACTGTATTTAAGGAAGACATAAATATAGTTTCACAAAATGAAGCTTGCTGACACAGAGCACTTCTTGAATAATTCACTTTGAAATTAACACTTATAATACCATTTGCCTTTTAAGTCCAACTCAGTGGAGCTAGAAAGAATAGTTCTCCAGGGAGGGAATTAATGGCAAACATTAGTCTCTCTGACTTGCTTCATTTTAATAAAAATGATCTGATGATTACCTATAATGAAAAATAAACTAACCTCAGTCAAATTGATAGCAGTTCAGTGCCTCCCAGCTTCTATTGCCTTTGCTGTATGATATTTCTAACTAGGATTTGATGAAAAATGTAAGTAAAGAATACAGAACTTCAGTATTGGACATATTCAAAACAGACTTCCATATTCCATTAAAGCTGCAGAAAGGAAAAGTCTTTGGACTCCATGCATGGAGTGAGGAGGAAAACAGTATTCTGCACATACTCAGAGGCACACTATATTCCATTTACCCTTTACAAGTAGGTTGGAATAGCTGTGTGTTGTCCTGAGATCATTTTGATGTAGGGCAGAAAAAACAAACAAATAGTACACTTCTCCCATTTAGTCTCTTGTCAACATGTCCACATCAACAAATCATATCTAGCACTTTTCATATTCACCAGAATCAGTCCTTTTGTAAAGCTAACGGCTCTTTATTACCTGCTGAAAACCAAGTACCCTGTCCATAAATATTACTTACTAGTGGGGTAGTTCACAACACTATACTGTTGCTTTGATAATGCATTTTCCTTTCCAGTACTATGAGGATTGCAGGTAAACACAGAAGGAATAGAGACATCTCATCCAAGTGGCAGATAATGCCATCATCCTTGCTGATCAAAACATCCTGGCACTTTCACCTAATGAGCTCTGGCGCCACTAAACCCAGCCTGCACTCCTTCAATGGATACAGTCTATGAATATCCTGAACAACACAATATGTAGTTGGGCAGCAATCTATGTGTGTTATAAAGAAATAGACTTGGCCATCTGTCATTCACTACACATCTCACATAGTATGTGAGTTATATGCTGTATATGCATTTGTGCATTTCGCCCAATTATTATTATTTTATTTTTAAATAAAAGTATATACAGGAAAGCAAGGCTATAACTCTCAGAATCTCCCAGCCAGCAGAGCCACTGGGAACTCTGGCCATGGAGTATTGGTCAAGGTGTATCCTTTGTAGGCAGGAGGCCTCAGTTTCATTCCTAGCATCTCCAGTTAAAGGATCTCAGATAGCAGGTCTGGAGAACTGCTTCCCAAGAGTAAAAAATAAAATTAAAAAAAAAATCAGTGAAAATCAAGGGTATTTGGATTATTAATGGTAATAAACATTCTCCCACCTGCATCATCTAAATTCATCTTGGTATTTCAGATTCCAGTTTTTGGCACCCAAATTGAAGTTGCAGGGGCCAATACCTACAAAATAGTGGTAAAGCCTACAGGGGTGATGAGAATTGTAGTCTGATATATCTGGAAGGTGATAATCTTACCAAAGGCTACTTTAACACCTATCAGAATAAGGAAGTATTTTAAATATCAGGCTGATTGATCATTTATTTTTATGCTGAAAGCAAGGGATTCCTTCTTAAGAGAAAGGATACTAAATCTTGGACTTCATAGGGCTGAAATGTTAGGAATCATAGTAAAGAAAGTAGAACATTGATTGAGGAGAGAACTGATGATACACTGTATTCAAATGGTACATATGTTGAGTTAAAGTTGTTAAGAAGGTGATCATTTTTAAATGTGCTTAAATTCTGGCTCCAGTAGCAGTTTGATTTGCTGTCCCAGTTACACAGATGAAATGAATGCATTTCAATTTTCCAAATGCTCCCTCATGTGGCTCCTTTGTACTAATACTGGCACATTTTAGACAACTTGAAGACTGCACCACTAAACCAGAAAGCAAACTGAAATAATATCAAAGGTCTTTGACATGAGCCTCAATAATTGAGAACTACAATATAAAACCCTGCATGTAATCAGTGTGTCTTTTGCACCAATAATTTCCTCTGCCAGTGTGTGGAAATAGAAGATGGAATTGATTATAGGTTGTATGTGATTACCATTTTAAAGCATGCAGTCAAAACAGAGTGCATCTCAAGTACTTCTTTAAAACCATCAAGTACCTATTTTGAATAATACATATAAATGCCATGTTATGTCCTTTGCAACCATTTAAATGTTGATCAGCAAGGGAGAGACTTCAATTCAGTACTTATAAATATTGGGGAAACAAAACATTATTTTAAAGGCTAAAAGGGATTTCCCTGGCACAGAAAAGAATACAAAGAAAAACATTAAAGTTAAGATGCTAATTAGTACAGGGGAGAGCAGCAGTCTTCATTTTGTATTAGTCCATCTATGCACATCCTCAGAATACTAGAAAATATAGAATATGTATGTGAGAGGTTGTACGTAGAAATGAGAATTGGATTTTGGACATAGAAGACCCAAGTTCAGAAACTGGTAGAGCTGTGAAGCTCACAAGGTTTCCTTCCTGACTCTACAAAGATGAAGTTTTGTGCCTCTGAAGCTTCATAGTACTAACTTCCGGGGCATATACTACAATATTTTCTGCTTGGACTTCCAGGAACTTTTTGGGATTTCATGCAAAGATATTCCCCAGAGCTAGGAATCTAGATCTTTTAGTAGGAGCTATTGGGATTTAATTTGAAAGCCTATTACCTAAATGCATCACCTTTCATAACCTAGAGACATCCAGAAGGATTGTGTTATAATTCTCATTGATCCAAGCTACCATGTCCAAGGATCCTAAGCACTAAAAGAGCAAAGAAATTCCAATAATTCATTATAGCTAGTAGGTCCAATGCCAATGGAGGAGAGAATCCACTCTGTGGTTTGGTTTGT